AAAAAAAAAAAAAGAAATGAGCAAACCAAAGCTCAGGGAAATGAAGAAGCTAGCTGGTGGGTGATGATGCCTCAGATTACAATTTATATTGCATCCGTAAAGTTAATTTGAATAAAATTTTGAATGAAAAGGAATCAATCATTTGGGTAATTCAAAATGGCTGAAACCATTTTAGGAAAGTTGATAATTGATAGATCCATTTCAAGACAATTTGCCCACCCACAAGGATCCACAGTGACTTCTAAACAGAACTTAATGTCTCCCCATGTGTATTCTTCCTGCTACAATGTAGACAGATCACTCAGATGGGTTTGAATTTAGACACTGCTGACTCCCTAACTCTGTGACACGTTGGATGGATTTATTGCCTGGCATATAACTGAAAAAATATTTGTTGAGTTAATAAATGGCTTAAAACTTTAAAAAAAAAAAAAAAGAATGATTCCCTTTTCTCTTATGTATCCTTGGTGTTGTTGCTCCTTGGCTTTGCAGTTTACACTTTTGCACATTAGACAGTTTGAAAGGTGTCAAGAGGTGTTAGAAATGGTGGGGAAAGTTGTGCTTCATCAGCAATGATATGTGATTGAACTTCAAAAAGAACATAGCACTGCAGATTAATAGCCCATAAAAAAAGATTATGAAAGGTCAATTACACAGCAATAGCATAGATAAATATATCGTGGTATTTTAATTCAGTAGAATGCTCTAAGGTAGTGAAAATGAATGAACTACAGCTACACATAACAACAGGGATAAATTTTACAAACACAATAATGGCCAAAAAAAGCAAAACACAGAAAAGTACGTATGGTATGATTTCATTTACAAAAAGTTTGAAAAGAGGCAAAACTAACCCATAGTGTCTAGGGATGAATGATTAAGTAGTGAAGTATTTTTTTTTAAGTCCAGGAAATATTATCATAAAAGCAGGAGTGTGTTCCCAGGGGAGGAGTGAGGAGTTGTTTGTGATTGGGGTAGCTGCTGTGTCTGGGTACCAGCCATGTCCTATTTCTTGGCCTGGGCGGTGATGACACAGATGTTCACTTCATAATAATTAAGCTGTACCTTTATATTTTATTTACTTTTATGCACTTTTCAAATGCATTTTAGATATCACAATGAAAAGGAGTCTGGGCTATTTTATTTTAAGAACTCAAACACAATTCTTGCTCCTCAGTGCTGCATTGTCCATCCTTGTGAAAGGATAATTGATCAAGGACCTCCCTTTAGGTCCTTGTTGTTTATCTGTTTTATACACAGTAGTGTGTATATGTTAATCCCAAACTCCTAATTTATCCCTCCCCTTGACTTTTTACTAAGTTACAGTGTTTTGTTTAGCACAGTTTCGTCTCTTATTATGTTGCTTGGTACTAGAATTCTATTCCAAGAGCAAAACTCCCCAGTATACTGAGCAGACAGTGCGGACCTGTGTTAGAGGGTGAGGAAAGCAAACCTTAAAGGAAATCCTTGCCAAAAAGAAACCACGAGGCAGTTAAACGCAGAGGGAGAGATGATAGCAACTTAAATATGCGTAACCTTGTTGTTGAAGGGCTTATTCTTTTTTAAGCTCTCAAAAAAGCAGAAGAAAGTAAAATGATCTCTTTGGAAATGTTATCAATTTGCCTGCTGAAAGGGTCCTGGTGGCCACCACTGTCCTCCATGCAACCCCCCCTGGCACAGGGCTGACCCTGAAGCCCTGAGCTGTACTGGGTTCCAAACTCAGCCTCCTGTAGGCATCAGGAGGCCACCTCTGCAGAGGGCTTCAGAGCCAATAACAAGGACAAAAGCCAGCCCTAGAACTTGTCCGACTCTCTTCACAGTCACAGCCACACCTGCAAAAACCACAACCAGGTTGGAGGGAGGGTCTTGCCTAAAATGCCTAATGTACCAAGTTTGAGTTGATGGAAGATGACTAAGATTGAATTTTCTCTCTTTCCTCCCAGGGTCTTCCAGGTCTGAAAGGCAACAGAGGACACAGGGGAGAGGAAGGAGACCCTGTAAGTTTTTGTGACCCACTGCCTACCATACTTACTGATTTCCTTTTTTCATAAAAGAAGCTTTATTTTCCAGAAGGAATAATGGGGTTTTGTTTATATATTTTTTGTAGTTTGGGGGGAGGGGGAATGGGTTGCTTTTCTTTTTTTTTCCTTTTCCTTGTCTTAATCATGAGGCCCTTGCTAAACCTACTGTTTGGGAGAAGGAGGGAGCAGGCTCACCTACATTTTGCCTGGCACAGTTTTGTGGGTGGCAGGGAGCTGGGCATCCTCTTTCCTGCCCCTGTGCAGGGTGAAGCTGGATTATTTGCGAGGGGCTCTCTCTGGACCTGCAGCCCAGTGCTTCGGACATGGAAATAGAAGCCGGCAAAGCACCCCCTAAACATGGTGTTGTGGTCCCAAGCCACATGTGGTTTTCGAATCTCAATCTTTGACCCCCAAACCAGAACTCTCACTTGGTTCACCAAATTATAAAAATGGATTTGGAGGAACTGAAACCACTTAGGTGGCTCCATTGGGATAAGAAAAGCTTAGGAGACATCCAGCCTGCATCTCCATCCCCTTAGAATCCTTATCTGCACAGCAATTTGTGATTAAAAGTATAGGCTCCCAGGGCTTCCCTGGTTGCCCAGTGGTTGAGAGTCCGCCTGCCAATGCAGAGGACACGGGTTCGTGCCCCGGTCCGGGAAGATCCCACATGCCGCGGAGCTGCTGGGCCCGTGAGCCATGGCCGCTGAGCCTGCACGTCCGGAGCCTGTGCTCCGCAACGGGAGAGGCCACGACAGTGAGAGGCCCGTGTACCAAAAAAATATATATATATATAGGCTCCCAGTTTAGCATTGACATATATACACTAATATGTATAAAATGGATAACTAATAAGAACCTGCTGTATAAAAAAATAAATAAAATTCTAAAATTCAAGAAAAAGAATAATAAAATCATTTTTGAGATCTGAAAATAAATAAATAAATAAATGTAAATAAATGTATTTTATTTATTGACTGTCCCAAATCAGACAGTCAAGGGCTGATCTAGACGTGAAACCTTAACAAGATATGTAACTTCTTGACCTTCAGTCTCCTCATCTGTAAACACTTATAAATTCCTCTAAGACTGTAATTTACCCACCCTGTACCTGCAGAGGGGTCATGGAGCCTACTGAGCCAGCTAGGGTTTGAGTGAGGGGAAGTGTCACCCAATGCCTGACTGTGAGCCCACAGCTGGCTCTCAGCAACTGTGGCCATAGGTGAGGCCTCCTGCTTTTACTGGGAACAATCCTCAGGATAAAGAAAGCAAAGCAGCAAAAGGAAAATCACCTCTCCCCTCACCTACCAGGAAAGAAAGAACTAAGTTAATTGCTAGATGAGTATTTATCCACACAGCCAACCATTAGCACCTTCTGTGCACCCAGATCTGAGCCAGGCACCAGGGACACAACGGGAGAAGAGACAGTTGGGGGTTCCTGCTCTCAGGAAATACAATATTGTTCTTCTCTTGAGACTCTTTTATTCTAGCCCTTACCTGTATTTAAATATTTCTGGGAGAAGGCAGACTAACGGGAGAGGCACATGTCATTGACCTTGAGTGCTCTTCCCTGTGTGGATGCTCTAACTTTGGGGATCTTTAACCTGGTGGTCCTTCCCGTGAGCGCTGGCTTGGGGCAATGTCATTTCCTATCAACTGCTTCTGCTCAGTTCTGGTCCCCTGACACAAACTTGCTTCTCTGCCGTGAGCAATTTTGAGTTTTTCAGGCCAGCATTAGGGCCTGGGCAAGATGTTAGGGCCAAGATGTATCAGTGGAGCATTGGGAATGTGGCTGCAAAGTGAAGTGACTTTAAACCTTTGGCTGTGCTTTCTGATAAGGGCAGGGAAGCAACTGAGCCCATCCCGCACCTTTGTGTGATCTTGGATCTGTAAGAAAGCCCTGAAGGGAAAATGCTTGAATGGAAGGGAAAACCAGAGTTAATTAATGAATTTGCAGGAGAGTTTGCTTTGTCTAGAACTCAGAGTGTCCAGCTGCTCTGGCTTCACTCTTGAAAAGTAAACTGCTGGTAGCTTCTGGCAAAAGAGTCACTTTGGATACCTGTTTGGGTACCTTTTCTTAGGGAAGACAAGGAGACACTGGACCCCAAGGAAATAGAGGGATTGAAGGATGTCCAGGGGAGCGGGGTCAAAAGGTAAATATTGTATTTTAAATTCTCTATGGCATCCTCTCCGTCTCTCCTCCATCCCCTCCCTCTTCTGTGATCTCTCTTCCATCCCCCCTCCTACTTTCCCTTTCTCCAATTACATGTTAGTTTCCTCTTCTGCAGAGTAAGTCTATTTAGTCATCCCAAGAAAATTTGAGCATTATTAAATTCCACCTGTAACCTCTTTGTGGTTGGAAACCCAGAAGCTACTAAAGAAATACAAAATCACTCTCTTAACGGAGGCAGCCCCTTCCTGCCCCAATAGACTGTGAATCCACATTCTCCTTGACATGCCAGTGAGAGATATTTAATCTTTTACAGGGAGCCAAAGGATTTGCTGGATATAAGGTACTGTAGTTACTTCTTCAGTCAAATTTCACTTCCTAATGGGCTTAGTTTACTGATAAGCACGTGGCAGAGATCTCCCTTGACCTGATTGCTGCCCATCTTTGTCTTTCAGGGAGAACATGGAGACGATGGGATTGATGGATTCTATGGGGAAGAGGTAAAGCCATTTTTCCTCAAGTACCATAAAATCGTCATGAGGTTGATGTATTTCTTTAATGGGAATTTTGTTTGCCTTGTCTTGTTTTAGGGCTTTCATGGACTTCCTGGGAAAAAGGGAGAAAAGGGTGATCCAGGGTCCCAGGTAACACTTTTCAGTACATCAAAGAAGGAGAATTTGGTGTTAGAGATAGTCTTCATTGTTGTGTGTCACAGGTTATGAGGAATAAAGTTGACAGTAATGAAGCCTATTACCACCGAATAGATGCTACATCCCCATTTGGGGCAAGTGGGTAACTATGCAGTTTTCAAGAATTTCCAGCTAGAAAGATTCAAGACTTGCAAGGATATTCTATGAGCATGTTTTCCAGAAGTCTGCAAATGAATGCATTTGCCTGTTAGCAGCTTACTTCTTCTCTTTATTGTATCAGAAAAAAATAAAAAGCAAGAGAAAGAGACAAAATTATTTTGGTGGCCTTGGTGTAGCAAATCACAGAGAAAAATTTTTTTATTTTCAATTCATTTTGACACTCATTAATGTGTGCCTCCTTGGTTTCAAGCGGCTCTCCTTTTATGTTCTGATTCACTTATTTATCAAATACTTCTGAATACCTGGCATGTGTCAGGCACTGAGTTATGTGCTAACGACTCAGAGATGAACCACACTGTCCTTGTCTTCAAGGATCCCCTAGTGTAGTTGGAGAGACAGACATATCAATAGCTAATGATGACACAGTATGTGGTTGGGGGTCATGTTATAGGTAACTAGGTGGGAGCCCAGAGAAGGGCACCTAACTCTGCAGGGTGGGGACTGAGTGCAGGAAACCTTCCCGGAGGAAATGATCCCTGAGCTGAAGATGAATAGGAATTAGTAAGACGTGGAGAAACGGCAGTCCAGACAGAGGGAATAGCATAAGCAAAGACCTGGAGGCTTGGGGGCCCTGCAAGTTGTTCTGCTTGGTGTGAGCTTTAGGGTACAGGTGGAGGGAGGTGAGGTTCAAGAGCGGGTGGGAAGAGCTGGTGAAGGTACTGGTGAGCCATGGAGGAGGAGTCTGGATTTTAGCCATTAAGGAATGGGGAGCGTTAGAAAAATTGTAAGTAGGGGGGTCACAATCGAATTTGCATTTTAGAAATATTCCGTGACAGTAGTGTGGAGGATGCATTGGGGATGACATAGATGCAAGGCAAATATGAGAGGCAGATCTGTAATAATCAAGGTGAGAAGTGATGAAGCCTTCAAGTAAAGCAAGAGACCCAAGACCCATGAAGGTTGTAACAGGGTCCAGGCTGGAGTGAGGACCTAGTGTGCAAAATTTAAGGAAGCACTCATTCTCAGAGTGAAGCAAAGTGTGAGTACCTGCCTAAATTTTGCACCCTAGGTACCTTGTTTTTCTCACCCTAGTTCTGACTCCGGGATATCAGATCTCCAGGTAACCAAAGAAGCAGGGAATGAGAAGCCAGTCAAAATGCCTGCAAGGATCCCAGCTTGGAAAAGTTTAGTTGGGAACAGTTGAGTTTGAGATGACAATGGAACATCCCAGTGGTGGTTTCCAGTGGACAATTTAATTACAGATGTCAGAAGTTGCTAGACTGGCTGGGATGTCCAATACGATACCCACTAGCAATATGTGACTACCTAAATTCAAATTAACTAAAATGAAAAATTCTGCTCTCAGTTGTATTAGCCGCATTTTGTGTGCTCGACAGCCAACAATGGCCAGTGGTTACCATATTGGGCAGTGCAGATGGAGAACATTTCCATCTCTGCAGAAAGTTCTGCTGGGCAGTACTCTGCTAGACCATGAGAAGTTTTCCCTTTTCCCAGCCTTTTTATAAATAATCCTGACTATAGGCTTAAAACTGGACCTCGTACTGCTTGAGAGGTCAAAGGGAATCTGGCTGGGATAGAGGAACGTGGATCATTTTGTCGGATTGATTTTCTCCCCTCCAAACACCACGACCCTTGACATTTTAACACTCTCCTACAAGCTAACTCAGAAGCTCATTTTATTTTTTTCAGGGCAGCCCAGGTTCCAGGGGCCCTCCTGGGGGATATGGGGAGAAGGGCTTCCCAGGGGATCCTGTAAGTTACTGGGGCCCAAGTGGCTCTTAATTGTGTAGTTTACTCCACACTTCTTGTGTCTCCTGCTAACCTGTAGGCAAAGGCATGTCTTGGGAGGGGGTGGTAGGTGTTGACTGAGGCTTATTGGTTTGGGAAAACCTGCATCTGATTTGGGCTGATTATGTCAAAAATTCAGAGATGGGAACTAAAATTCCATCTAATTCATCCTTATGTATCTTGAGACTTTCAAGTTCCTTTGGGAATGAAATTTCCATAATTTTGTTATTGGGTTTCTAACATTATTGATTCCCTATTTGAAGATTCGATTATCGGGGAATCTTACTACGCCTTTGAGAGACTGGCATAAGCATGCTTGGATGAGTGCATCAGTGAAGCTGCTAGTACAGAGAAGGGAAAATTGCCATAGCTTCAGCAAGCACTCTTTTAATTCTTCATTTATCACTAAGCCTCCTTCAGACTTGGAGAAATATTGTTTCTTTTTTTTTTTTTTAATTTGTGAGTTTCAAATATGGAGAATTTTCTTACACCTCTCGTTACTTAACCCAAATTAGTTTAGTTCTTAATATTGTACCAGTTTGAGAGAAAAAAAAAGCTGATATTTCTTGATTCTAAAGTACTTTTTATTTAAATCTTCCCCTAGGGTAATCCAGGACAAAGCAGTAACATCAAAGGACAAAAGGGCTCCAAAGGAAAACAAGGAAGACAAGTAACTGGATCTATTTTACATATATGAGTTGATTAATTCTGTTATCGAGCTGAGGCTTTCCTAAAGTCTAAATTATTTAGACAAATACATAACAGTTTTTCTAACTGAACAATCACCCCTAATTTCCCATTTAAGAGAGCCTTATTTTCTTAAAATAAGGTATGCCTGTAGTAGGTTACACCTCAATCGGCAAAGTTATTAAGTTTCTAGCAGGTGATATTATTATATGGGGAAATTGGTCATTAGCAGTGCGTGTTGCTATACCATTTTCCTCTTTAATGGATATATACCCAATAGGGTTAATATGCAGAAACATTCTGGCATGACACATTTGTTCTTTTTAATAGTGCTTGAGATTTTTATGCTGATGTCTTTGTCATTTACTCAGAATCTTTTGCCTTATGATCTTGGGGGAACAATTGTGTTTCTAGGGTAGAACCGGCCCGAAAGGGACACAAGGCAGTCCTAGTTCCAGAGGGAGCAGTGTAAGTATTTCCGTGGACGTTTATTTCCCCTCCTTATCACCTGGAGATGCCAAGAGGCATTCAGAATATGTGTCGCTGCAGTTAGCTGATCCAGGGCAGATACACTGACACTGTTGTCTTTTGGGGCCAGGTAATTCTTTGTTGTGACGGGCTAGCCCGTGCATTATAGGATGTTTTGCAGCATCCCTGGTCTCTACCCACTAGATGTCAGTAGCACCCACTCCTCCCCAGTTGTGAGGTCCAAAAATGCCTGCAGATCTTGCCAAATGTCAGTCGGGGGTAATGGGGATGCGGTGGTGAGGCAAATTGCCCCTGGTTGAGAACCGCTGTGACAGTCTGCCTTTCCCTTTCCACCTTCCAGAGACTTTTAAATGTCTTTGAAGAGAGCCAGTGGTTTTCACATAAAAACCTTCCTCCAGTAGCTTAGCATATTTGAGCTTCTGTAGAATATTAAGAAATAGGTAAATGTGCTCTCTTCCTCCTCATATGTCGCCAAAGGGAAAGAAGAATTACAGATAAATTCTTCCTGAATAAACCAAAACATTGGCGATTAGGGTCAAACCAGTGGCAACCTGAAGATGCTGTGGTAATTTTACAGCATCCCATGTGATATCAAGCCTGAAACAGAAATGTTGGATTTCTGCTTCTTTTTAAGGAACAACCAAGAAATCACTTTTCCCTTTGTGGACTACCAAAGTTAGAGAGGATATTTACAATGTGTTAGAAACCCTTTCATCATGCACTCAGAACGGAGATCATCAAAAGAGAATAATGTCCAAATGTAGATTTGGCCCTGAGTTTTGTTCACGAGGACACTGAAAATACATGGCTTCCTTTTCTGTCACAAACTTGGAATCTTCTCTCCACTTTGAAAGCTGTGGCTGATTGCCTCCCCCTCTGGGAGAGATAGTGGATGAATGTTTTAGTTCCTCTTGCCTTTGTCTATCTTGACTCATAGTTCTTAAGGGAAAGGGTCTGCAGTTGGATGACTTAGGCCTCCCAGTGCTTCTGGTGAAGTTCTTTGGGACTTTGCCCACCTCTCCATACAAGAGAATTAAAATTAATCAGAGGAAGTAGGAGAGCAGCAAGATGAACTAAATGCTATAAATTTTAAAGATAAATATGTAGTTTTGTTGGTTTAAGAGAAAATACTTTTAGTTTGAAATAGCTTTATAGCTGTCATCATCCATCAGGCACTTTTTAAAAAAGAGTGGGGTGGGGTAGGGGATTATTACTTGGACAAACCAGCCAATGACGTTAAGCCACTCCATGCACAGGAGGCTCTCAGCCTCCCTCCCCCATCCTCACCCACTTTCCTGCCCATCTCCTCCTTTGTAATTAAACAAATCAATATGGATGGATATAAAACAATGGCTTTTCTACCCCCTCCTTCACCTTTCCAGTGAAGGCTAGAATTCTCTATGATGGTCAGAGGATCTTAAATGGATGACAAATTCTAAAAACACAAGCAAACCTAAGACATCTCCTCCCACATGACAGAATTTCAACCTGTGTAAATTAATTGTTGCCCCAGCTATTGACAAAGCAACGGATCCATGTACTAAGAACCAGAGCATTTGAAACCATGTTCCAGGCCCATTGCCTTTGGCCTGTCAGGCACAAGGAATATATATAAATAATAGTATTTATACTTCTAGAGCACATATTTTGTGCCAGGTCCCGATCAAATCACTTTCAAATATTACTTTGTTTAATCCTCATAACAAATCTATCAGGTAGATACTATTATTATATCCATTTTACAGATGAGAAAAAGCAAGAAACCTTGGACAAGTTGCCCAGGATCAGGATAGGTAAATGGTAGAGCTGGGGTTTGAACCCAGGGAGTCCCACTCCTAATCAGCCAGGCTCAGACCTATTGTGCAACTGCTCTGTGCCACCCAGGCTTTACAGGGCAGGGGTGAGCTCAAGGCTGTCTGACTTCTGATGACACGTCCCTAACCATTGTGCTACTAAAATAGGAATGCTATTTTGTCCTTGCTTTTTAATGTAGACAGAATTATGACATCATGGAAACAGTGGCTTCAAACTGTACTGTTTCTGCTCTTCTTTCATCTGTCAAGAGTTCTGTGAGTCACATCAATGTACAAACGGCTGACAAGTTACAATGGGTAACTTCTCCCAAAGGGTATTTGCACTTTAAAAGCAAAGAGTACCTGAATCGAGGGGTAGAACCTCCGTGGAAGAATTCTAATCATCAACCAAACTGGTGGAGGTGATATTTGGTCAGGCGTTTTATTCTAAGGAGGTTCAGAAGCTGGGCAGTTGAAAGAAAACAGCTGCTCTGAAATCATTTCCATGGCTACCTTTCCAAGTGAACGTAGGAAAACGTTTTAAGTATTTGTTTTGTACATAAAATAATCATAGTTGTTTATCACCACACCAAGTAGATCAACGGATGAGATGTTCTGCGGCTCTCTCAACGAGGCAGAGGTGGGAGGTAAGGGCTGAGAGTAGACTCATCATTGCTATTTAGGGAGAAAGTTAGGATCTGGGGCTTGGATCTTCTTCCCGCTTGGCTACCCTCTGGAAAGCAGAGACAGCCACTAGGTGGAGAGCCTGCACTGGCAATTTGAGGTAGCTTCTGGAGAGGTGCTGCCAGATTTTAGCTTCAGACCAGCTTTTCTGGTGGCATTTGGACCAGCACAGAGCTGACCTGACCCCATCAGCCATTTCCTCCTTGGAGAATTCCATGGAGTCTAACCCCAGTGGGCTCATGGGAAGCACTGTGTATAACGAGTTTGTACTCCCCCCTAAGATACGATCAGGGACCCAGGACAGAGAGAGATGGATATGGCACAGCTTGTTCTCACGCAGGAAACCTCTGACCAGCAGACAGTACTTTGTAGGATTTGCTGGTGAGGGGAGGTATCAGACAGGTGCTTCAGGATGATTTCATTCTCCAAACAGCCTCCCGGATAATTGTCAGGGTTGTCAGACTGGAGCTAGGTCTGTAATGACTTTTGGATTGGTTTGCGATCAATCCTCCAAATGTTAGTTGGTAATTAAATGCCCAGTGTGTAAACTTGTCCTTGGAGAGCGATTCGGGGAAACCATTTCTGCGAGCTGCTCGTTACTCTGTCTGTCAGGGACAAGACAGGTCGGGTTGCCTCTAAGGAGTCTCCATCCAGACACTCACACACTAACAGTTTGTCTTTTCTGATCCAGGAAAGAGAAGGCCAGAGGGGGGTCCAGGGTGCCTCGGTGAGTATCCTTTCCCCCACGTCCTCTGTGGGAGGTGAGGCCAAGGAGATGTCCCACAGGCAGATGGTACTGCCAATGAGTTAGCGTTTGATGCGGCTGCTGTAGGAAGGGCTGGGTACTGGACATGAGCCCCACTGACTGGGGGATCAGTTAGACTGCCAGACACAGGACAGGCCTGACCTAAGGCAAGCCTCCTTCACAGACACTTCAGAGACAGGGGACCTGTGCAGCCCTGAAGGCTGTGCTATTCACACACCCTGGGCATTGACTGCAAGAGAGTGAAATTCTGTCTTAGAGTAAGAAATTACCTGGAGTTCAATTCTCAGACAGTTTGGAAGAGTACAGTCCTAGGCCAAGTAGGGCATGAGCCAAGAGTCAGACAAGATAGTTCCTGGGTACCATGCCCTGAAGCCCTGAAGCACTAGGTACTATGAAGAGAAAACGTATATGGAAACCATGTGAAGAGAATCTTAACACTGAAAACTCATCCATCAGGGGGAACCAGGGAACCCTGGACTTAAAGGTGCATCAGGAGCCAAAGGATTACAAGGCTCACAGGTATGTTGGAATATTTGTAATACTGACAGTGTTGTTATTCTGATGGGAAGATGTAGTTCTGTATAAAAATAAATAACTGAGACAATTTGAAGCTGCCCCCGCCCTCCTCCATGGTACATTTCTCTGGGATTCTACATTTCCCATTGAGGGTGGGTGATTTTGCTCTGTCAAAATTTGCAGCTCACTGATAGAAGAAAGCCTTGCTCTTGCGTATACCTGGCATCATGTCTGCCTTTTAGTCATAGTGAATTATTGAGACCTTAATACTATGTTAGTAATCAGTATCCAGATCAACAAATTGATTTTTCTTAAGTGAGGTTCTGCACGCAGACTCCAATGAAGGAAAGTTAGGAATTGGCAACTATTACTCACCTCTTCCAAAGCTGACTCTGTAGGGGGTGACAGTGCTCTGGAATATCACCGATAGGGCTCTATGTGAGTCATCTGCATTTTTTCTTGGTCATATCATTAGTGAGATGGGCACTGGAATTAGGACATCTCTGTTTCTTTTCCATGTCAGAAATATGCCAGGGTCATCCTAGAGAATGGTTTGCAACACATGGGTACATAGTCACCTGACGGAGGCTACTTTAAGCCTGAACTTGTCTGGAAGGACCTGCCTACATAGATGTGTCCATCCTAAGACCTTTCCAGGAGTTCATTTTTCTTCTAGAAAGTTCTAGATTCTTCATACTAAGCCTGAATTTGGAATTCTCTTGAGTGGTTCTGGTGTCCTCTAGAATGAGTAACCATGGGACCAACCTAAATCCATCCACAGACTTTGTCGGGAGAGGGGTGACATTACCTCAGCCCCTCCAGGGTCCCTTTGATGCTCAGGCTGTGAAACAAGGCCAGCCCAGGGGCTGTAACCACCATTTGCACTGGGCAACCAGGACATCTTACAGCTGCTGCTTTGGTGATGAGAAACAATACCAGCACCTCTAGCTTTTCTTTCTGTGTGAGAGAGCCATATGAGAACCATGCATTTGATGGGAAATATGACAAAAAATTATATGCTTTAATTCCTCTCATAGGGATCTGCTGCTAAAATGTCCTTTTGTGCTAACTTGCTTTCTCTTTTACACATTGATGCACTTTGGCCCAGGTAACCTGCCCCATCAAAGGAATCCATCTGCCTATTGTTTATGTCTCGCTTCCTTCTTCTATGGGCTTTATTTCTCCTTTTAGTCTCTTTTCCATTTCTCCCTGCCACAGAGGGATGAGGTCTTACACCCAGGCAGGATATTCCTTCATAAGATATGCTCCACTGCGTCTGGGTCTCCTTTCAACTCCTCTTCTGAAACATGCTTAATCGCAGTGTTAAAGCTGCTTGAAGGGCTGGATAGATGCTTTTCCGTGTAGGTGTTTCAAAAGCACTAATGAAGAAAGTCAGTTTTTGGGCTTCCCTGGTGGCGCAGTGGTTGAGAGTCCGCCTGCCGATGCAGGGGACACGGGTTCGTGCCCCGGTCTGGGAAGATCCCACATGCCGCGGAGCCGCTGGGCCCGTGAGCCATGGCCGCTGAGCCTGTGTGCCTGGAGCCTGTGCTCCACAACAGGAGAGGCCACAACAGTGAGAGGCCCAAAAAGAAAGTCAGTTGTCATTTACTTCATTGCATTGTGTTTCTTTTGTTACCACCAAAGGGGTCAAATGGACTTCGTGGCAGGAAAGGAGAGAAGGGAAACGAGGGGCACAAAGGACCTCAGGTGCGTGACTCAGATGGTACCTCAATGGTCTCCAACCTTCATTTTCCTCTTGCTTCAAAGACGTCTTCACGTAGAGTTTATTTTATATTATCTAGTATGGAGTATTTCATTTGGGGATTAACTTGGGGCCAATCTTTAGCACAGCTCAGATTCCTTGTACATTCGCCTTTCTCCTTCCCGGGGGTTTGACTTGGAAAGCACAAACCCACTTTATCCGCCTGAAGGAAGCCTTTAGAAGAATGCACATCTTGCTGACTCATGAACATTTCAAAACCTGATACATTATTCTGCTTTTTCTAACTTTTAAAAATTATCGGTGCCATGCCTATCTCCATTGACTATAGATATTTGAAATGGACTCTGCAAAGATCCCTCGCTACCCAAATTTATTTGATTCTTAAGTTCAGCTTTGAATTCACCATCTGAAACTACTTGATTCCCAAGTTTCTGACAGTAAGTAATGAGAGTTTGGATGGTGAGAGATTCATATTAAAAATGTTCTGAATCTTGGGCTTCCCTGGTAGCGCAGTTGTTGAGAGCCCGCCTGCCGATGCAGGGGACACGGGTTCGTGCCCTGGTCCAGGAAGATTCCACATGCCACAGAGTGGCTGGGCCCGTGAGCCAGGGCCACTGAGCCTGCACGTCCGGAGCCTGTGCTCCGCAACAGGAGAGGCCACAACAGTGAGAGGCCCGTGTACCGCAAAAAAAAAAAAAAAATTTTCTGAATCTATTCAGTTTTTCAGCTCAGATAGTGAGAGTTTAGAAGGCAAGCGATACCCATGTTTGCTCAGTTATCTTCCCAGCATATTTGTGAAAGACCGTTTTGCCCCTTTGCAGATCGAGAAACTGAAACACATTTGACATCCCATGTTATATGTGTGGATGACACAGAGCACAAAAGTGACAATGACAGCACAATGTCTTGTTCTAACGAAATAACATGTGTTGTGTCAAGAGTGCCTTTTTTATTTCTCACTATGTCCCCATTTGGACTAGCGATGTCCCTGCCAATGAAGACTTGGGGTCCTCTAACCAGGACTGTAGCCTGAGTCACCTGGTTTCAGGCTGGGTTTCTTGTTAAGGAGGCATCAAGAAATTGTTACAAATGACACGAAGAAAAGCAAAACTAATCTAACAGGTTTTGTACAAATTGCTGTAGCACCAACATCTGTGTTTCCTATATTCTTTCAGGGTGCTCCTGGGCCAGTGGGAGATAAAGGGAGTGTTGGAAGGCCTGGACTTTTGGGGAAAAAGGTAAGTGTTATCTCCTACAGATTTCAGATACTGAGGAAAGAGTAGCTCCATTTTTTCCCCTTGATTTTCATGTTAATTCTTCACATGATCCAGGCACAATCAACCACTCACCAGCTTTCTGCCAATATTTTTTCCTTCCTCTCTGAAACTGCCCCATTTCACTGGGAGAGACAAAAGTTTATTCACCTATCATGAAACAACTCTGATAAACTCAACTCGCTGGTTTCCTGAATGCGTCAAGGCACTTGGTGGTAGAGTCGGCCAGGGGCATGGGGGATGTCAGAACTCAGATCTGTTCATGCATGCAGTTCTAGGTCTAACTCAACCTACCTTCTCAGGAATGTCCTTATTGGAGATCGTTAGAGAACAGACTGTTGGCCTGTTCAGAATCTCACTGCCCTGCTCAAAACCTTTCAGCAGCTCCCTCCCCCAGGGCCAGCTTCGTGGGCCTGGGACCTGTTCAGTCACACAGGGGCCCTCGCTTAGAAGGCGCCCCTACTTGGCCTCAAGCTCTGCTATCATAGTCTGAAAAGTTTGCTTTTGAGTTAAGGGCCCATGATTTCATTTGAGTCCCACAGATCATGTCACTGGTCTTACCTTTGGATGACCCTTAAGAAAATCTCCAAATTTTCCAGTAGCTTAGAAGACCCTTTGACCCTGTTTAATTCTAAGGCTTCCTAGCTCATCTCCCTCCTGTGTGCCTGCCCAGGCTTCTCACTGTGCCTTCCTCCTCCATTCTCACTCCTCCCTCGGTCCTTCTTCCAGCTCACACAACTTATCCTTTAAGCCTCAGCATCCCTGCTCCCTTCCTTCAGGCAGCCAGCCTGCCTGCCCCACCAAATCTGACTTAAGAGTCCCCTTCTCTCCACTGCCACAGCACCCTGAACTTTATCACACAGTGTAGAATTGCCTAATTGTCTCTCATTCTAACCAGAGTATTCTTGGTGAGGGCAGGACCACATCGGTCATGTTCAACTGTTCCTTTTCCAGGACAATAAATAACTGTTGGATGGGTGAATAAATCAGCAAATGAATCCACTTTCCCTGGAGTAAATTTTCCACTCTTTCTCTTCTCCTTTAGTTCTTCTATAGCACTGGGAAAGCAGTACTGGGTGCAGCTTTGGGCTGTGCTGGTATTTCCTGCTTGCCTTTCGGAAGATCGTTATTTGTTTCCTACACTCCCTAGCTTGCTGAGCATTGAACCCTCACTGAGAACCCTGAGTGTCCCCAACTAGTGGACAGAACATCCTATGGTGGGAGCCAGGTTTGATTTTTACTGATCTGAAGCTCTCCTTGTCTCACTAGGGAGAACCTGGAATTCCTGGAGATCCAGGGCCACTGGGGCAAGCTGGACGGCAAGGAAAGCAAGTATGAGGTTTTAGGACTCTTACCCTTTAGCAGCTCCAAGGGCTCAGTAAAGAGAAGGGGGCTGACACCATTAGCTTAAGCACCTGGGGTCCTGAAGGTATTTTGGGACCTCCTAGGAAGATGTAGGGACATTCCTCCTGCTCCCTGAAGCACTCATTCTATAGCTAGTCTGTCTGCTAAAACAAAGGGAGAACAGCAAGAGGGAAAGGAGGATGCAGAGAGAATAATGGATGAGCTCAGTATTTTAACAACCTATATGGCCATGTCAGTTGAAAATCAGGTGACTTCTTGTAAAACTCCAGAGTGACAAGAGGGTAGTAGGATCAAGAAACAGGGTATCTGTTCTAGTTGCTCTGGCTGTACCAGAGTCTCAGTTCATAAAGCAGTCAATATAAGAAAAAAATAGGAAAAAAATTAATTTCTTTTCAAAAATAATGTTTATTACAAATATTAGGCATAGATATTGTAGAAAATTGACTAAGCATAAAACATGGGAAATGGGAAAGAAAAATTACCCATAATCCCACCATTTTGAAATATTTATTATTAATATCCTGGAGATAGAAAAAAAATTATTTTTCCCTATTAACAATGTATCATGGGCATACTTCCATGTCATTACATTTTTCCCTCAAAGTTACTTTCAGTAGCTTCAAAATATTCTACTGACTGTATATACCTTAGTTCACTTGACCAACTTCTTATTACTGGATATTTAGTTTGCTTTCAGTTTTTCACTGTCTTAAAATAGCACAGCAATGAATATTCTTGTATGTAACTAAGTTTTTGATAAAACCATAATTAATTTCTACATAGAAATTTCTAGAAGTAGCATAGCTGGTTCAAGGAATATGTACATGTTTAATTAAGGCTTTGAACTCTATTGCAAAGTGTCCTTAGGAAAATTCCAAGGACGTATGTACCCTTGTGTTGTGCAGGAAGAGTGCTCACTTCAGGGCATATACACCAACAATGGGTATTGTCACTTTCTTTTATTTCATCTTTACCAATTTTACTGACCAAAAATGATGTCTCATTGCTGTTTCAAATTGCATTTCTTTGGTTACTAGTGAGGATAACATTTTTCATTATGTTTATTGTCTATTTACAATTCCTTTTTGGGAAATTCCTCACCCAGTGTTCTTTGGACCAGCTCCTAATTTTCCAGGCAAGTAACTGCCACTGACTCCACTAGTCTTAAATGACCAACCCTCTGCCTCCTGTCATGTCTGCACAGTGGAGCTGAGCAAAGAATTACCAGGGCATATACCAGGAAGTATGGAAAACTAAACGGCATGAATATTCCCAGAGTTCAAGTTCATCAGGCCCCCTCCACCTGGAAGTCCCCGGTGCTTTTATCCTGACACCATAATCTCCCCAGTATAGGTTACAATTAATTTCCACTCTTGAGAAATTGAAATGAACTGATATATTCACAGGGTGATTATGGCATTCCGGGCTATGGTCCTATGGGACGAAAAGGAGCAAAGGTAAATATGGAAAACAATTATTTCTTTAATTGTTGAATCAATTAAATGGTGTGTTGATTTATTTATGTTCTCTGCTGAAAATCGTAGGGCCACAGAGGATTCCTTGGAGATATGGGTCAAAAGGTATTGTGCATATAACTTGTCAAAGTTACCATGATCTTGACCTTCTACTTGAGAATTAAGATCAGTCTGTGGATCTGAATGAAACAGGAAAAAAAAAAGCAAGACAATCGGTTTGCCTGAACTTCATGAAGAAAGGACCATACTTAACTCCTATGAACCTTTAAATTGGAAAATTTGTCCTTCACTGCCTGATGTCCCTTGTCTTGAAACCCTACCTCTAGGTACCCTCTCAAGTTTAGTCCTTAGTCCTTTTCTTGATTTCTCTACCCTGGTGATCTCATGCAAAACTCTTGCCTTCTGCTATTGTACCTTGCCCTTCATTATCGTGGCTTTCACTTCCTCTTACCTGAAAGATTACCATATTCTCATTAGTCTCCTACTTGCAACTTTAACCTGCTTCAGTTAATCCCAAACACTACTCTCTTGATTTTTCCCAAAGTATAACTTAGTTATGTTACTCTCTTGGTCAAACATCTTCTAGAATTCCTCATTGCCTACCAGCCTGAAATTCACCTCCAAGCTCTACGACAAGACATTCCTTCCATTTCAACCGGAGTAGCTCAGGTTATATCTGTTTTATACACTGGAATTCTGTAATAAGATTTATCTAAAAAAAAAAAGCATCCTTAAAAATGAACTTATTTACAAAACAGAAATAGACCCACAGACATAGAAAACAAACATGATTACCAAAGGGGAAGGGGGGAGGGATAAATTAGGAGTTCGAGATTAACATACATACACTACTATATATAAAATAGATAAACAACAAGGACCTACTGTATATATAGCACAGGGAACTACACTCAATATTTTGTAAAAAACTATAAAAGAAAAGAATTTGAAAAAGAATATATATATATTATATATGTGTGTATGTATAACTGAGTCATTTTGCTGTACACTTGAAACTAACACAACACTGTAAATCAATTATACATCAATAAAAATTAATTACATAAAAGTATCTTGTATATCTTCCAATCACTGATGCTCAAACTAAAATAGAAAATATGGATTAAAAAATAGAATGTCTAAGTAAATTGAATCAACTACAGTATAGGAAAATAGCCAATTTTTGATTCCCTTAAGAGTGCTTTTAATTGATGAATTACCAAAAGAGATTCTTTCCTTAGGTGGAGAAGGGTTCAAGAAGGGACTATATAAATAACTGTTAGGATAGGAGTTCTCATTGTAAAGGACCAATTTTCTAATTTGCTGATAAAGAGAGAAAATTAGCATATTTCAATTTACAGATAAATGGTAAATTAGCATATTGATAAGTGTTAAATTAGTTTTCCACCAAAGTCAGAATAAATTTCTTTTTACCTTCAACTTTTTGAGGAATGATTCATGAATTTAGGAAGTAATTCATTAGTTAGTACTTTATGTAGTCAATACCCCATATGTTTTCCTTGATTTTCAAGCATTTTTCTTTAGGTATTTTTAGTAACTGATTGGATAGCCATTGTATTGATATTGATGCATAAATATTTGTATTCTCAAAAAATTAAAATAGTTTGGAGAATATCTAGGTGTATCAATGGCTTAGTTCTAAATGACAAGAAGAAATGACATTTAATATTTAATATATGATATAGTTATAAGATCAATTAGATTTTGGTTTGGAGAGAATTATTTTTATTCTTTCATAGCAAGTATTTTAATATCTTAATTTCTTATATCTGAATCTTTAGGGTGTTGTTGGTGACCCTGGAATTCCTGGGGGGCCTGGACCCAAAGGATTTAGGGGACTAACAGTAAGTGACCTATAATTCCAGAAATAATAAATGTTTCTTTGGAAGATTCTGGCTTTTATGTTGTAATTATTAATGTGGATTGTCAATCCAACCCAGGGTCATCTGAAATGCCACTTCCTAGCTGTGTGATCTTCAACACATCTTTTCAAGGTCTCTATTTCTATAACATGGGAGTTAAACTTAATGACACAAAAGCTACTTTCAGCTCTAAAATTCTATGTTTCCATGAATCTCAACTATTTTAAGTATTTACAGATTGATAACAGGCTATTCTAAAAAGTGTCAGTGTCTTCCAGTCTTTTCTAGGGCACATACTAAAGCACAGAATATTAACCCTGTGAGTGGAAATGAAGCTGACATCTTCCTACTGTGTCCTGGAGCGTTTTCTGACAGTTCCAGTCCCCAGAACCAAGGTCACCTGGTGTATTCATTTTAAGGAAGGCTGTTGAGATGTTCTAAATAGCAAAGTGCAGAGTAGAGTGTTATACTTATTAAAAAACCAAAATGCCAAGACAAGCATCCTTTCATTTTAAAGTTTCAGTGTAATATCAAAGGTCATTACCAGCATGAAAGAGATGCAATTCAACAGATATTTTACATCTGACTGGACAAATTTCATTAGTATCTATATCCATCACCTTGAGTTATGGGAATGATACAGCCAACCCATGTCCTTATATATGTGGGGAATTATTTTTCTTATTTGATTCTTTGCAGATGGCAGCTTTTTATTAGATCTCCGTGTGCTCTAGTGTATCCACTTGTTTAAAGAGCCAGTTCTAGCTTATGACTAATTTAGATTTAAATGCACAGCCAGTGCCAGAGCAAAGGATATCACTAAATGAAGAGGCTAAGAGGGAAATGGATGTTTACCAATAATTAAGAATTACTATTTAGGATGAAAGATAAAAATCATATGATCATCTCAATAAATGCTGAAAAAACATTTGACAAAATTCAACATCCTTTCAATATAAAAACTCTTAACAAATTGGGTATAGAAGGAAATTACCTCAACATAATAAAAGCCATATTTGAAAAATCCACAACTAACATCACACCCAACAATGAAAGGCTGAAAGCTTTCCTGCGAAGACCAGGAACAAGACATAGGTGTCCACTCTCACTACTCCTTTTCAACATAATACTGGAAGTCCTAGCTAGAGCAATTAGGCAAGAAAAAGAAATAAAAGTCATCCAAATTGGAAAGGAAGAAGTAAAAGTGTCCGTTTGCAGATGATATGATCTTATAGATAGAAAATCTTAAAGACTTCATTAAAAACTGTTAGAAGTAATAAACAAATTCAGTAAGTTTCAAGATACAAAATCAATATATAAAAGTCAGTTGTGTTTCTATACACTAACAATGAACTATTGGAAAAATTAATTTTTCTGTGAGTTCTGTGGGAAAAAAGAATGGCTATTTATATTACACATAAGGAATTTGCTTAACTTGAATTAATAGTTGCTTTTGCTAAAAATTTTTTTTTTAATTATAAAGTCACATTAAGGCTGAGGTAGTCTCCATGGATAGAGGATGTGGAAACTCATGTATATTTCTACCTGCAGCTCACTGTAGGTTTGAAAGGTGAGGAAGGCTCTCAAGGACCTCAAGGCCCTCCTGGACGGAGAGTAAGTACACTCATGAGAACTAAGGGTCATGTGCTGCTTCCTAGGGTGCCCACTGGAATGAGCACAGAATTTAAAGTCAGAATCACTGGTTCAAGTCCAGACTCTGCTTCTTGCTACCTGGGTGCACTTGGACTAGTCCCTGGGTCTCTCAATGTCCTTCTAAAATGGGAATGACATGTCCTGTTGGAAACACCTCAAAAGGTAGCTGTGAGGATCAGATAGTCAAATGTGAATGCTCTTCATAAACTGTAAAGTTCAATGCAAATATGAGCTGTGACTGTTAATTTTTACTGAAGGAAAAAAATAGGGATGAGAATGCATAAGCTTCATTAAGGTGTCCTGACAGATTGATAGGATTTCCCAAACCACTTTTTTTGCCTTCCTGACCTCACGATATAGACGCTGGGGAGATTTGGAAATAAAATTGCAACTTTCCACTGTGATTCAATTACAAAAGAAGTGGCACCTCTAGAAGCATTCCTGGACAGAGCCAGGCACATCTCCCACTGACAAGATATCCATATCTCTATTTTAGTGCCTTATGTGTCATTGTGATGACATTAACATGTCTCTCTCCCCTAAAGAGAGCAGTCAAATAAGAACTAAATGTTGCCAGCATCTGTGTTTTGTGTGTGAGGTGCAGGAAGCATTGTGTAAGGACAGGAGAAACTGCTTCTCTTGTTTTGTGTATTGTGATTGTTTTCTGACTACCTGGAGGGGTTCTTTAACTTGCAACTTTATAAAGAAAACAAAAACGTGGATGTTTTGTGGAAAACTGAATCTGTAGTAGAATGGTAATCAACTCACTGTAAAGGATACTCTGGTACAATCTTTTCTTTCTTTTGAATTAAGGAACTGGTGACTATTCTTAGTCATGTGGGTGAGAATCTGGTCTCTGAGTCAATCTGGACTGGTCTGGATTTGCCTCCTTTCCAGATTCTGGAGCTCTCCCTGGAGGTCCCATATCCTCCTGCTCTTGTGTTTGGCCATGCTGGTCTGGTATACCATGGTTTCTCTGTCTCATGCCTGTGGTCCTCAGTCTCTCCTTAAGGAGTTGCTCTAAGTTATTCTTAAACTCAGTCTTTTGGAACCTACTCTCCACAGTTCTGATCTTCTGTAGGATGTGGGCTGCCTACTCTATTCATTAGCTGGAAACTCTTCCTCTCTCTGTTTAAATGGCTGTGCATTTTTTTTCTGTTTTCTGCTGTCACTTGTAAATGGAAAAATAAGACTCTGAATCTTTTAGTGAGATGCATATTTCTTGATTTGGGTCAGGAAGAAAATATGCCCCCAGTGGGTAGAATCATGGATGCCATGACAGTTCTGGTTAATACCAGCAGCACACAGTGGGCCACATCAGCATTCAGCAGACACTTAACTGTTCAATGGATGGATGAATGGATGGATGGATAGATGGATAGATGGATGGATGGACAGATGCCCAGTTGTCATTTAGAACAGAGGTTCTTACACTGACATTCATGGATGAGCTTCTGAGGGGTCAGTGAAATCATACAGCAATCATGAGCATGTGACAGCATTTTCTGAAGCCAGCAAACATCCTAGCTTTCAGTGTTTGATCAATTAAGCTAATGTCTACCTAGACTGAACTGAATGGTTTTTCTAGGACGACAAGAAGGAAAGAAACAAAAGTACTTTTTAAAGATACTTGTACTGCAGATAGAACATTTAGAAGGCATTTCTCATAATAATACTTAAAAGCTGCCCAAAGGGATTCATATGTGCAAACACATTAAGAACCAACTGCCAAGAAGAAGGCTGATCCTGATAAAAAGGAATTAAAAGGAAAATGAGAAAAGCTCACACTTGTCAAGAAAGGCAGCTGACTGTGTTTAGCGCCTTCCCTGACTCATCTCACCCAATTATCTGTATTCCTTTCCTCCATCACCTTCAGCATTTATGAGCTTAGTGTGTATGCTCTCCTTCTGTGTAATGTCCATTTGGCTATGTAATTGTCTTTTTTTTTCACATATGTTGAGGCTGTGTGCTGCTGCCAGTGTTTTAAATATACTTCAGTAAATGTCTCTCCTTCATGCTACTCTTTGGGAAGCCTGCTGTTTATAATTTTAAGTATTATTATGAGAAATGCCTTCTAAATGTTCTATCTGCAGTACAAGTACTTTTAAAAAGTACTTTTGTTTCTTTCCTTCTTGTTGTCCTAGAAAAGTTATTCAGTTCATTCTAGGTAGACATTAGCTTAATTGATCACTGAAACGGAAAGGTTTATACTCTCAGTGTGTGGGGGAAAAGCACTGAAGACTCCAATTCACATACCAATAACTTGCTCTGTTTTTGTTTTCCTAGGGCCCTAAAGGCATGGCAGGGCAGCGGGTATATTCTGTATGTATCGCCTTATTCACACACACAAAAATGCAACCTGTTCACTGGGAAATGAATATGGCCACTTGGAATTCACTGCATTCATGTTTCTTATTTTCTCTCTCCTTTTTCATGTACAGCAATGTGATCTAATCCAGTTCATGCAGGACCATAGTCGTGAGTATCTGTGTGTTGTAGAGCATCATTGATTAGTGAGGGCACTTAGGATGAAAGCAATGTGGGGATGTGGAATCAGTAGGCTGAACTCACTGGTGGAGAAACCATATGTCCTTGGCAGCAGGCTTGCTGTGAGTGCCTGCTGTGGGAACAGCTCACAACAAAGGAGGAAGGAAAAGGCACATGCCTTAGCTCAGAGGTGTGCTTCCTAGAGGGAGAGAAAACATGCCTGTGGGAAACAATCAGTGACCAACCCAAAAGGTGTGTGACTCAGCTCACACTAGTATAACAATTATGCACAAAGGCCTGGAGGGCATGGTGTTAAAGGGATGGACATGGGGATCTCGGGTTGTTTGGCTACTTAATTAATGAAGGCTGCTTGAATGGAAGTCATTGAATCTGGTTATAGGAAGTGATGGGAAGCAGCAAGAGAATAGTTTCACAGACTCAGAGACATAGAGAACAGACTTGTGGTTGCCAAGGGGGTGGGGGGTGGGGAGGGATTGATTGGGAGTTTGGGATTAGCAGGTGCAAACTATTACATATAGAAAGGGTAAACAACAAGGTCCTACTGTGTAGCACAGGGAAGCATATTCACTATCCTGAGATAAACCATAATGGAAAATAATGTGTATATGTATATATATGAATAACTGAATCACTTATCTGTACAGGAGAATTTAACACAACATTGTAAATCAACTATGCTTCAATAAAATAATTTTTAAAAAAAAATAGTAGTTTCAGCAAAGGAATAAAGCAGGGTCAACAAAGAGAGAGGTTGTCTTTCGTTATGATCAAGGAGAATATGAGGTAGAAAGAAACCCAGTGATCTCATTTCTGGAAATTTATGCTAAGGAAATAAAGGGGAAAAAAATTATAGGTACAGAGGTTGTTGAAATATTATTCATTAGAGAAAAATGACTATATAAGTAGACTGTTTATACTTATAGAATAATTGGGTTATAGTCCATCATGCTCTGATAAAATATTAAGCAGATATGATTTTTATGAAGACTCACACAAATATGAAAAATATTGTCATTAAAAACTAGAAAATTAAATTGACTCTTCATTTTTACATATAGGTAAATATATATACATAGAAACAAATACTAGAAGAGGAATTGGGAAAATGTAACCATGTATTGTGTTAGAGTGGTAGAATTCTAGGTGATTTGTCTTTCTTCATGTTTCCATTTCAATTTTAATCATGCCTATACAATCACAATCAGAAGAATGGAAAATGGGAAAATCAGAAAGACTTATTATAAGAGACTGGATAAAAATGTAGTCATTGCAAGTGTATGGCCAGGAAAGACCAACAACAAAAACAAGTTTAAAACAACTGTAAGGACTCCCTCTTGCAAGAGCACCAGAATCACAAGTAACTGCTGAACAATCATTGATAGGAAGACACTGGAACTCACTAAAAAAGATACGTCACATCCAAAGACAAAGGAGAAACTACAATGAGATGGTAGGAGGGGGTGCAATCACAATAAAATCAAATCTCATAACTGGTGAGTGGGTGACTCACAAAATGGAGAACAATTATACCACAGAAGTCCACCCACTGGATTGAAGGTTCTGAGACCCATGTCAGGCTTCCCAGCCTGGGGGTCCAGCAACAGGAGGAGGAATTCCCAGAGAATTAGACTTTGAAGGCTAGCAGGACTTAATTGCAGAACTTAAACAGGACTGGGGGAAACAGAGATTCCACTCTTGGAGGGCAAACACAAAGTAGTGTGTGTATCAGGACCCAGGGAGAAGGAGCAGTGACCTCATAGGAGACTGAATGAGACCTACCTGCTAGTGTTGGAGGGTCTCCTGCAGAGGTGGGGGGTGGCTGTGGCTCACCGCAGGGAAATGGACACTGGCAGCAGAAGTTCTGGGATGTACTCCTTGGCATGAGCGCTCCTGGAGTCCATGATTAGCACCACTAAAGAGCCTGTAACCTCAAGTGCTGGGTCACCTCAGGCCAAACAACGAGTAGGGAGGGCACTCACCCCCACCCATCACCAGACAAGTAGATTAAAGTTTTACTGAGCTCTGCCCACCTGAGCAACACCCAGCTCTACCCACCACCAGTCCGTCCCATCAGGAAGCTTGCACAAGCCTCTTAGATAGCCTCATCTACCAGAGGGAATACTATAGAAACAAGAACTACAATCCTGAAGCCTGTGGAAAAAAAAACACATTCACAGAAAGACAGACAAAATGAAAAGGCAGAGGGCTATGTACCAGATGAAGGAACAAGATAAAACCCCAGAAAAACAATTAAATGAAGTGGAGATAGGCAACCTTCCAGAAAAAGAATTCAGAATATTGATAGTGAAGATGATCCAGGACCTTGGAAAAAGAATGGAGGCAAAGATTGAGAAGATGCAAAAATGTTTAACAAAGACCTAGAAGAATTAAAGAACAAACAAACAGAGATGAACAATACAATAACTGAAATGAAAAATACACTAGAAGGAATCAATAGCAGAATAACTGAGGCAGAAGAATGGATAACTGACCTGGAAGAAGACAGAATGGTGGAATTCACTGCCATGGAACAGAATAAAGAAAAAAAGAATGAAAATAAATGAAGACACCCTAAGAGACCTCTGGGACAACATTAAACGGACCAATATTTGCATTATACCAGTCCCAGAAGAAGAGAGAAAGGATCTCAGAAAATATTTGAAGAGATTATAGTTGAAAACTTCCCTAACATGGGAAAGGAAATAGCTGCCCAAGTCCAGGAAGCACAGAGAGTCCCAGACAGGATAAACCCAAGGAGAAACACACCGAGACACATAGTAATCAAATTTACAAAAATTAAAGACAAAGAAAAATTATTAAAAGCAACAAGGGAAAAACAACAAGTAACATATAAGGGAACCCCCATAAGGTTAACAGCTGATTGCTCAGCAGAAACTTTACAAGCCAGGGAGGAGTGGCATGATATATTTAGAGTGATGAAAGGGAAAAACCTACAACCACGATTACTCTACCCAGCAAGGAACTCATTCAGATACAATGGAGAAATCAAAAGCTTTACAGACAAGCAAAAGCTAAAAGAATTCAGCACCACCAAACCAGCTCTACAACA